ACTGAAAATACTTGTTAGTCTAGAGCCATCAAATGATCGCAACACTTCACTGACTGTGTGACATACTATTATTTCAGAGTGAGTTTCAGAGAACATTTCTTTGTTTTCTGAACATAAGCTTATTGCACAATCAAAAAGACAAGAAATGGTAAGAACACTTAACACTAGCTTTGCTGTTGCATTAAAAGATTAGGCAAAAGCTATAATATGAAAGAGTTAATACATTCATTTACTGTTAAGAAAAACACGACAGACTTGCCTGTAGTTGATAATGTTCACACATAAGTGGTTCTAATAAAAGGTAGATCCCGGTGTTTGCTAGGACTAGCGTTACAGAGTACTGCAGTCTGCCAACTAGAAGTAGCAGCCAGCATGTTTTTTTCACTAGCTCGTCTTTAATAAGTGGTATTCCAGCACAAAGTCTTTACGCAGGACTTTTTTTTGACATTGCAGTGTCCAATTTCAAATACTAATTAGTTTTGTGGCTACACAGTAAGAAGTGCTTGAGCACCTCCTAAAATCCAAAACCCAGCAGGTACATCAAACAGGCCCTTCAAAACCAGCCAGCTCTTCCCTAACTTCTGCAGGTTGAGACTTCAGGATGTGAATAAATCCTTAACAGGCACTGACCATGTACCTATGGGCCAGAACACTGCTAATCATTAGTGTAATTTTTCAGAGAAACAGCACATGATTTACTTCCCTTCCAGAAAGGGCCGTTTTGGGATTTACATAACCTACCGGCCCGAAGAGATTTCTGTCAGAAAGTGCAGTCCTGTGCGTCACTGGCACGACTCTTCACCGCCGGCACCAAAAACCACACTAGATGCCTAAGCTGTACTAAGCTGAATAGTCCCAGCATTGTAGCATTGGATGTAAAGATCTATTTTCCTGGCATTCCATTCCTTTAGTAAATGCTGAATCTCTAAACAATCGTACACCCTTTTAGTTAGCTTTCTCCAAAAGGAAAAGGAGGAGTTCTATGTTAGAAAATCTGACTTTCAATTCCCAGAAGAATACGCCTTTGTAAGAACTCCCACAGTCCTCGAACAGAACATTCCGCCGAAACCGTGCAACTTGTCACACTGTGCAAGACCAAAAAACTCACACGGCTTTTATTGTCAGTTTAGTTTTATACACTGCCCGTGAGCTTGCCTCAGTGCAGGATGATGAACGTGCAACTACACAGCTGAATAAAGAAGGTACAGCCATGATTTTGTACTTGAAGAATTCGCATCATGCTGAGTACCTAGAACAAAACCCGTTGTATTCACTTCTATAGCACGCTGCTGCCATGGCAACTGAAGTACAAGAGAAAAAAAATCAGATCTTGCTGTCACTGACTCACAATAGTACACAGGCTTCTCCATCACCCAGCACTGGAGACAGAAGTTAGAATTCCTTGTGTTCCTTAATTCCAAGCGTTGGTGATTAGGTAAAGCTCGGAGCAACCTAGGTGCACTTAAATTCCCAACTGTCTGAGAATTATTAAGTGCCTTCTTAGTGCTCTTATTCGTCAAGCTTGCACATTCCTTCCTTCCCTCCCTTGGGGCTGTCAAGGACCGGAGGTTAAGGAAGGCACAAGGGGACGTGAAGTAACAGTTCTGCCCTCTAGAGTCTGAGGAAAGCTTTGTCCTCCCAGCGCACATAGATTTTGAGCATCTTCTGACATCAACCACTCCCACTGCTGGCAGCATTTTGCATTATAATGACACTTCAAGCACGTTAAGGAACAACATCTTAGTTCCTTAGGGTAACGCTACATGTTTCACTAGCCAGCCAGCTTCGTTCTATTTTAAGCCCCTCCTGTGCATTAGTACCTCGTAGCAATGTCGTCATTTTCACCACCACTGCCCCAGTATGTGTTTGGAAACCCATTCATCTTCATGTAATGTTCTGGAGTCAGAGCAGATACGCCCCCAAAGAAGGACTTATATGGCAGACTAAATGATAAAGAAAAAAAAAAAAAAAGGCATCAGTATTGAAGGCCAACACCAGTCCTCCACAAACTAACAACACGATCCAAGTCTCACATCTATTAATCGCATACCTTGCCGTGCAATTACAGCGCGAGTGACCTTACAGGCACTGCCATTACAACGCCAAAACCCAAACCAGCAAAACCCGTATAATTCCTATCACGTTCCATTCCCCACCTTCCTCCCCAGGAGACCAAAGTAAAGCTGGTTTTGACATCCACGTCCTGGGCCAGCTCAGAACACCTGCATCCTATCACACATCCTCCCCATGACCCAGTAATTCCCACCCTGTACTTTTATTCTCTTAGCTGAGCTAACACTGGAACAGGGAACTGCAGCAAGGAACTGTTCAAGACTGCACGCTTAGGTCAAGAATACCCTCTTCTAGGGAGGTCACTACTGCAAAGCTGAAACACAAAACCTCTTGAAGGTCGTGTCTTTCACTGTCCCCATTCATACTTTCTATGCGGAAAGTGAGCCAACAAGAATACATACGTCCAAAGCAAACGGAGGCACTTACGTGTACTGAAACTTATCCATGGCACTAGCCATATGCTTGGGATAGTATTCATCGCAAACATAGAGATTATAATCGTTCTCGGGTACCAGGTTGACATCGTGCAGGAGAAGGCAGTCCCAGTCTTCATCCTTCAGGGCTTCCCGGACACCAACATTAAGCAGCTTCGCTCGGTTAAAGGTACCGTTCCCCACCTGGAAAGGAAAGCCTACATTTCTTCAACAAAATACCAAAGATGATAACTCAATTAAAGTTTATGTTAGTAAAAGCAGCCTTATTCAATCGAATGACACTGAAATGCAGCAGCACTGGCTGCTCGCTTCATGCCCCAGACTCTGAAAATTTCACCCATTCTGTTCACAATATTCTCAGCAATTGTAAGCATTGCTCTGTCAGGGGCTATATACCGTGGGCACCTGAACAAGGCTGGCTTTTAAGAGACTAGTAAGTCAATCCTCAGGTGTACATCTGCCCATCAACACTTTTGCCCTGACTACTGCTTATAAAAGCTTAGAAATGAGAAAAAAAGATCTCGGTCAAACAAAGCAAGCTGCTTCTCCCTCCCAATCAACTCTCAGTTTTAATTAATGAATCCAAACACCATTGATCTTTTGCAACACCAGTCCATGTCAGTTAAAAATGGTTGTTTGACCTGCACAGGCTGCCCCACAGCAGGGTCAAGCAAGATGTTTTTACTTGATACAGACTGACGTAGCCACACTATTGAGACTAAATGCTGAAGTGAAGTTGGATATTTTTAGTCTGTATCAAATAAAATCACACTCAACTCTTGAACAGCTGAAAATACAAATTACCACTTAATGACAACTTCATCCCTCTAGAAGAAAAAAAAAAAAAAGCAGAACCAATCAATAGCAGAATGATGATCCTGACAAGTGGTATGATACTTCAGTCATCAGCAGCCATGGAGATGGGGCAGCATACAACTGACCTGCTCTCAACGCGTGCATAAAATGGCACGTTAAAAAATTTGCATTTCTTGTTCAGAACCTAACCCTTAGCTGGGAAGCTCGGCTACACCACCAGGCACATCTGATTTAGATTTACCTGCTGAATCAAGTAGATACTGTAACTGAGCTGCTGGCGCTGCAAGAAAGGATGAATATAGTAGAGAAGATGGTGAAGGTACTTTTCCTGGTTCCTGTAGGCTACCAGGATGGCTGATTTGTAGCGGGCCAAGCAGTGAGGTGGCCTGTAGCGGCCGCCAGACTGAACAAAAGGATTTTTTTTGATGATCATTCTTTCAGTAGGGAGCGCCCTGAAGGTGATGGTTAACGGACCAACTGTAAGGAAAGACAGAAAAAAAGAAAAAAAAATAATCAGCGATGTTTCTCAACCTTCATTCAAACCTATCAGATCAGCTACATATGTTTACTACTCAAGCCACCAGCCCTACCACAGAACAGCTAACACCATGCAGATGTGCCCACACGATGAATTCCACTGCTGCCTGCTGCTCACCTCCCCCCAGCTCCACACCGAGGGGTGCCGGGCTCAGCACCGGGCCATCAGGCCACCCGCCAGAGGCATCCCGAGTCCCGGTACAGCCAGCAAGTCTCACCAGGCTGCTGCACAGCTTGCTTTTTCCCGGTATTGCCTCCCTACTACACAAGCAAACCTTCTGTCTTGTGTTGCTTAGATGGGATCCTTGAATAAACGTATTTGCTGTAAGAATAGAATGGAAAATTATCAAGATGAATAGATGTATTTGCTTTTGCTACCCTCACGGAAAAAGTCTAAAAGCCTCTTTCAGAGGAGATTCAAGGACAAAGATCTCCAAAAGGATATTCAGCGGGTTGGGGGAGAAATAGTTTAAAGCCTGGATGAATATAAATGCTTTAGGAAATGACAGCTTTATCTTTAAGAAGTTTCAAGTTCAATTTGCTATTATAATCACATGCCACATGGGCTGGATTTGCTATATTATTTAATTATATACACTGTAATAAGCAGGCAGTACTTCAAAATTTTGCTAGAAACAGAAGACAGAACTGAGGAGGAAGAAGAGAGACGTTACATTTTCAGGAACAGGCGCAGGGTAGCGAAAGAAACTACATATGATAGTTCCTCTACTCGGCACCTCGATTTTAACATATTGGATATGTTCAACATTTCTTATCTATCATAAAAAACCCCCCCGAATTTTTATATGAATTCTTCCATTCTTCAGATGGCAAAAGCTTGACAAGTCACAAGTAAGAAAGAATCAATATAAAGTGTCAATCGGTATTTTAACACGTCTCGTATTGTTACAATATGAATAAACAAATTCTACAATTATTTAAATGCCTGTTCTTCTGAGTAGTGAGCAAAGGTTCCAGAAGTAGCAGAAGAGTTCTATTTACACAAATCAGGGTGTCTTAATGGTTTCCAACCACTGTCAACTTCTAAGAAAACAAAGCACAAATCCAGAAAAAAAGATTAAAATCTACTACATAAATGAACTAGGAAGAAACCTTCACCTAGATCACAATTAAAAGCTGACAAAGACAGTTTTAAGTAGGACCAACAGTTCTCTGCCAGGCATGATACCCAAAGGCAAAAATTTTTTTTGCACTAGAAGACTGTGAGGCAAGGTTTTGGGTTTTTGTTTTTTACATAGCTATAAATGAGATTTTCTTTTCCTTCCAAGCTCTAAGTTAATGCTACGGCTGTCTTAAAGCAAGTTTTCAGTATCTTGTTAGTCAGACTGCCTCTTAAACCACTGAAATTATTCTCTCAACTCCTGATAATGAAGCCTAAGAGAGAAAGAGCAAATATTTAGGCTTGGTGTTTATTAGCTTTCACCTGAGCAGGGAGAGGTACAGGTGTGGTTTAAGTCTAATGAAGTATTTAAGCAGGTGAGTCCAGAAGATTCATTTTCTGGCCGATCCCACATTCAAGTCTCTGCTACAATTCTAACAAAACCCCCTGAGCCTGCATTCACCCACATCCTCCTTAACCGACACAGAAGGCAGCCACACCCTTCCACTGGCTTTAGGGGTTTGGTGGTGGGTTTTTTTGAGCACGAACAAGACTTAGCGACTACATTTGGCGTAAGATTCACACTGTCCATTCTAAACTGGAAAACGTTCAGCTATTATGTGGAAGTTGGTACACATCACATCTCTGATGGGCGAACCCACACTCGGTAAGTGTCTCCTTTCCTTCCTCAAGGCACACACACAATGGCATCTCCTGAAGGTCGGTCTGAATAGCCACCGATCCTGCTCCTCGCGCTGTCAAAAAGGTCTAGGCACTGTGAATCCCGCTTCTTGGTTTGTTTTCAAAAGGAAAACCTGAATTTTGCTTGTCAGCAAGATCTTGCAATAGCTGACTCTTAAGTATCACTTCTCAGTCCTCCCTTAAGTATCTAAAACACAGGGGGAATTTGATTTTGACTGTTACCCGCAGTAGGAAGCTGGAGTACATTGCCTCTCCTTTGTACCTGACACAGAAGAGTAGTTCTTCAGAGAATCATGCCGTGGGCCTATGAATCTGGGTCACACTTGTGGTTAAGATTTTATGATGTTATCACCTACTTTATGCAGAGTATCTCCTGTTCTGCCTTTAAGACCGCCACGTTTCAGTCCAACATTGGTTTTAACCTGTAATTTATGTTGCTTTTTAGATTTATGAACTCCGTGACTATCAGATCCTTTAACTGAAGCACCATTAACCACTGATTTGATGACAACTGGAGCTTGCTAAAGAAACGTTATATTCAGACTGGATTTCAACTACAGATCATTGCTCCAAGGAAAACACAAGAAAGGGAATTAATCCCTTTTGTTCCCCCACAGAGGCAGGGTTTTGTTTTCTACAATACAATCGTAGCTTTTTGTATTGCAGAGTAAAATTCTGTAGTGATAATCCTTAAATTCCAAAAAATGGAATCTAAATTTGGACATAAGGATATGAGCAAGACAATGTGCAATAGTTTCACTCCCATTGTCTCCTTCCATACCTAAGCATGATTCATGAGGGTAATATCTGCATTTTTCAGGTTTTTTAAGATGTCACGTTCTCCCGAGCTACCTGGCTCCATACCTGAAACAACTCAGCCCAGAAACTCAACCTAGTATATGCCAAGGAAACACAGAAAAAAAGAAGTTAGTCTGTGACTTCTATCCCCCAAACCTCTGGCTGCCCTACACTCCTTAGCTACAAGCTAAATTCTGGCTGACAGGTTTCCTTCCTGCCCAACTAACAAAAGGCTAACGCACTGTAATCCAATGAAATCCCAGATGTGAATAGAGCAGTTGCAGGCTGGACCAAACAGGGAGAAAAAAAACTGCTGGAGCCCAGCTTTGGGAAAGGAGGAAAACCCCATCTTAGACATGCTAGAAAGCACAGGATCCCAATTCGGACAAGGTACAGTATCAACCATCACAGAAGCGTCCAAGCAATTTCTCCACAGCCCAACTCCTAGGCTCTTTCTGTGCCTGCACCATCGCACGGAGGGTGTTTAATTAATATGAAACCTTAGTGTGTAGAGTTAAAACTCACAATTCCCTGTCTGTATTGCTGGCTGGTGCCAGTGGCAGTACACCCCCTGCTTGCTTTACTTTCTAGGCAACATGTTTGACTATCGGGGGATCTATTGATTTTGACCAGATCTCATCTTAAGAAAGAAACATGACTTCTAAACTCCTTGCTACACATTTAGAGTTAGCAGCTATAATTACTGCCTTCAACTGGAATCAGCAGAACTCACAAAAGCGAAAGAAACGGGGACAGCAGCATGGATGAACACCTCACTGAGAAAGTGCAGCACCACACATTGCATTAATAGAGTCATAGTTGTATAATTCTACCACTGTTTGAATGAAAGAGGAAAAAAAAAAAAAGCAGACCAACAGCCTTAATTTAAGCACCAGTTTCTAATGACACAATACAAGGCTGCCTCAACTGCACCTGAAAATAAATCTCAGCATTGCCACCTTTTTACTTCTCTTTAAATCTGAGAGAAGAAACTCTAGTAGGAGAGCATCCACTAGAAAACGTAGCAGGAGCTACTCATTACCACAACAGATGGTCATGCTCACGAAAAGGTTATGACAGATGGGAGCAAAAGGGAGTAACTACTGTAAGAAGGGCTTCCATAGCATGAGCAAATTACAAACAGCAGAGTTACAGACAGAACTTTCAGCTATCAAAGTCCTCAAGGGCCAAACGAGCTCGCCCAGCACATACCATGCATGAAATAGGGTACCTCTTTCAAGAAAAAAAAATCTGGGTCTTCTAGCACCTACCTTCTTCCTGGTAAGAGGAAAAGATTAACAGAAACAACATATCTTGCGTGCAATGTGAGAAAGTCAGATTTTTAATCTACATGCTACTTCGTTAAGTTTGAATAAGCACAACTTTAGCATATGAACACTTTGCTTTTTCCAAAAACAAAGGAGGAGGAAACAGGCAACTGGTTATTTGTGTAGAAACTTCAAGGGAACTTGAATAATTTATTCACAATATTAATGAAGGCACTGAATATCTAGTACAACGCTTTTCAAGTTGTCAGTCACAAAAGGTTCAATGGACACCACCAAGTGTTAAAAAAGTACCCTTAGTCAGCAAGAGCCTGGCTCCTCCAAGGCAGAGAGGCACCACAGCCCTGGAAGAACCAAGATGCTGTAGATTCAGAAGGTACAAAAAAAAGACAGATGAGCTGCAAGCTGATCTTACATTCAAACAGTTACTGAAATTATCTGCTACATATATAAGTGGAATAAGTGCTGCACTTAATAAAAGCTCAGATGCAGAAACCATTTAAGCCCTTTGGCAGTCTTCCAGTTACTTTTAACACATTTTGGAACAGACACAGTGACTTATTACCAGCTCTGAATTGGAGACTGGAGTCCTCAAGAATTGACTTGAAATGCAGTTTATGAAATTAATATTAAAAGGCATCGTTCTCTCTGATATAATGCTTCCAAGAGAGATCAGTCCCATAAGAGAAGATAACAACCAATCAAGACATTTATAAAGTATTTATATATCTATTCATACATACCCATCACATAAAAAAAGAGCAACGACCTTGTAAAGTAGCACACATCTCTCGTGTTAAAAAAAAAACAACAAACAACAAACTAAACAACAAAAGTCAAACCACCCAGAAGAGGCTGGTATACAGTAATACCCGAAGGAATAACTAACTTCCTGTACTTATCACTGAATAAAAGTTAAGTTGTAGCAGTGGTTATTTTTCTTAAGCTGAATGTGTATGAATGCTCCAAATGATTTGTTTCACAGCAACAATGCTTCATATGCTCAACTCATTTTTTTTATGCAGCAAAACTTCCACAATTACTTTTTCTCATTTTTTTTTTCTGCCAGTCAACTTACTGTTTGTTTCTGTCTATAACCAACATTATGTTCTCATTTTAGCTCTGAAGTACCACGTGCAGGCCAATGCCCTCTGTTCTCAGCACACAGGCAGAAGAAGAGGTCTTAAAAAGATTTCACAGCTCTAAGAGCACCGATTAGTATAATTTTACATCTGCCTCCTCCATATACAACGCTACTCCTCCTTATCTGATGGTTTGCAGGCAAGCCACACAGAATTGCACCTAGTTTGGGGTTTCTTTTTTCTTTTTTTCCTGAGACCAAAGCTTTCTCATTTGACTCTTTTCAGGACAGCAGATTCTTCTCAGTAGTGGAGAAAAGCAGGGTGCAGGCACCTTTCTGCTGTGCTTTTTCAAATAAAACAATTAAGTCTGAAACACAGTATTGTAGCTTCCCAAAAGAACTAAGAGGCTGTAGCTAGTGACGAACAGAGACTGCACTACGCCATTAAAACTGGCACCTGTGCAAAAAGGCTCTGTACTGTTAGTATTTACTTAGCAGAGCTGTTTCCAAGGGAAATGCTGAAGCACATACCCAAAATTTATCATACAATTTCATCATACATACTGCATTTAACTTCAGCAACCAAGGAAGGAAGAAAACTTCCCAAAAGAGCAAGCACCATTACAAAGACTGAAGTCTAAAAAGGCCCATCCAGAGCAACCCAGCAGCGTTCTCTAACCAAAATAAGCAACTCCACACAAGAGTAACCACAGCACTGGCTTCCCACAATACTTCCACCTGTGAAGCAAGGTCGGCCATTTGCTCTTACTGCGCTCCACATGCCACAAGCTTTCCTGTAACAGCAGCACAACTACCAGCAAGTAGTGCTCCAAGACTAGTTACATGCAAGATTTAGTTATGCAGAAACCCCTGCAATATGGAAAAAAAAACAGACAAGGGTAACCTACTGCACAGTACTCTAAGAAGCAGAATTCCCCAAAACAGCTGTAAGCCATGCTTACGAACTCCATCCATTCTGGGCTGGCTGAGTGGAACTGATTCACTATTACCAGAGATGCACCACTTTACTACCTACAAACTTGCTTTATGGATTTGACTTCGTATTTAAAGCTTCTCAACTGTTTTAGTAGTGCTGTAGCTGGATTAATGCTGCCTCTAGGATCAGGTCTAATTTGGTCGCTAGTGTAAATAAAAATTAACCTGTGACCAGACTTTTAAGTATAAAGGAGAAGTTTCTAGATCTAAAGGATGTGTAACAATCATAGGCCAAAAAGATCACCACGAAGAGCAAGGTGCCAAGCCACATTCTCATACGAATGATATTTAAAGCCAACTTAATAGGTTAACTTAACCAATTTATCTTGAACTACAGGCTTGATACAAGGCCAAGACAAAGAACCCAGGAATTACAAGTGAGTCAAGATTATGCAGTTACCACAGTAAAATCGTTGCCCCATTTTATATAAGGCTGCCAAGAAAAAAAAAAAGGCGTTAGTAACTTGGTATTAACACCATGCACTGTTTTCGCTCTTGTTCTACAATCTCTGCCCAGCCAAATCCTTAGTACAGGAAGTTTTCAGATCAGTAAAATACTTTTCCCCGTATAACCAATAAAAGTGAGTTAATTAACACAAGGAAGTTTTGCCACTGTTAAGTATTACGTCAGTATACCACTTTTAAAGTGGAAGAGTTCGAAAAATACACAACATTTACCGAGTGTTCAGCATTACCATGTAGCAAAGCAGTCGTTTCAAACACCATCGGTTCATACCTACCAAATATTGGTGACTGCGCTGAGCAGTATGGCATAGTTTCTTCATTAGGAGCTTGGGTAAACAAGCTGAGGTTTGTATACACATCGTGAGTTTTTGAGTAATCCAGAACCTCATACGAGCTTAAAAACGCACGAAACACATTTGAAGGTCCACCTCGGTAGAGTATCAGGATAAATATCGCTTGGAAGACAAACAGAAACAGGAGAAAACAAGGATTTTCCACACGAGAGAGGGACATAGTTTTTAGTCCATGCTCTGGAATCAGACCGGTGAGGCGCCTTCCACGAGCCACCCTTCCACGTTCGGGGCTACATCGCTGTGCACAGAAGACCTCCTCCACCTCCACTTCCTCCTCCTCCTCTTCAAACTTTCGGCGGCAGCAGCGTGCTCTTCTCGCACGGCTTCGTCAGGACGCTGTGAGCCGAACCGCCCCTTCCCGCTACGAGCCCTGCAAGGCGACCGAAGGAGAGAAACAGCTGCTCAAGGCCACCCGGAGCAGAAGCAGCCACCGGGGGCAGCGGCGTCCAAGCCCGGCAGCACAGGGCGCACCGCCCGCCCTCCTTCCCTCCCACACACCCTCACGCCTGCCCCCGCGGGACAGGCTCCCTGAGGCAGAGGCGGGAAGGACGCCCGAGGGGGGGGGCTCCGGGAGAGGACGGACCGCCCGCTCGGGGACAGAACGGCACACGTG